CGTTTATATCTATTAAGTTGCGTCGTCTATAATTTTTTAAATTAGATTTTTTTTTTTTGAAAAGTACATACTATAAACTATAATCGATTTTGTCCAAACAAAAATCTATAATCGGCTATATATTATTTTATGTAATTTTCAATGGTCTGATCAATTAAGCTACAAAATATATTTAAGTATATGTTGCAACTATATATGCATGTGTTTAAGATCATATATTATAAAGAAAAGAAAAACAGTGCATTCTAATAATTAATATATTTTAATTTTAATTATATCTTTCTAAAAAAATTATATATTAATTTTACGTGTATAGGTAAGAAATTGAAATGTGTACTAGATTTTAAAGATGGTATGCACCAATTGACATGGATTGTTAATGAAATTCTAAATTATTAATTTAGTTCAATGTGTTAAATAACACTTAAATATTTCATTTATATTATTTGATAATATTTCTTTATTAATTATTGGATCATGTTATTGACCAAAGGCATTAAATTAAAGTTAATCAATATATTAAATTATTGGGTAATTGTAGTTATCTTTGTAACTATGGAAAATAAAAAAAATAAAAATAAAAAAGAAGAAGAGAAAAGTTGCCAATATATTAGATGTTACATGCAAAATTTTACGTTTTAATTTGAAATTGACAAAATTTATTACTATTACTATTTTTTTTAAAATTTATACAATTTATTTCGATTTGTTTACAGTTATAGTGATTTGTTAATTAGTGTAAAAAAGTGATTTGTTAATTTGAATTACGATATATTTAAAAAATAAAAAATGAACGAAATAAACTATAGGAGAAAAATCATGATGTGTCACGTGGATACCTCAAGATGCTGACCTCCAAAAGCTCAGTGTCTTTCACTTAGATCCAGAGACGAGGTAGGGAGACCTGCCAGCTCGTCTAACCCAAGTTAAGGACTGAAACACTCCTGCACATATTCAGGAGTTAACTCAAATGAAGTTTACAACTGTCAGGAGTATCTCATCTACGATCCCTATAAATATACCCTTATTATGCACGGTCAAATATACATTTTTATGTTTGAAATCGACCTATATATTCAGCTCTCTCCTTTTGAAAATTAGCTCAAGCGTGGATTTTTTTTCATAAGTATCATGGAGTTATAGTGTTTGAGCTGAATTTTGAAAAGTAAAAAAAAAAAAAGAACATAATATAAACACATTTTTGAAAAATATATTTATTCAATGTAAGTATTCGTTTAATGTATTAATAGGTGGTAATGAAACTTAAGATTTGTAACTAACATATTTGTTGTGTCATGTGTGTAGAGAAATATATATGTTAAATCGGAAACTCATGGAGTGAAAGATAGGAGAATGCGATCTTAAAACATATAGGAGATGAAGGCACACAAAACAAAGGAATTTTGGTTATGGTCCTTAGGAAAAATATCATCCTATACATGAAAGGAATAAGATAATTAAGGACCAGAACCAACATAGAGTCAAGAATCAACACAGTACTCCCCATTATATATATATGTTCAAACATTAGAGCCTTGCTTTGCAAAGATAGAGGCTTCACTGAAGAGTAGACGTTTAGAGATTAACAGAAGATCGAACGAGCATATGACAAGAAAGCACGAATTATTAGAGTGTCAAGATTCAACGCCAAGTGTATGAAAGAAAATTTAGCCGAATAAATGAAACTCTCGAGAGACTTATTGGACCAAGGAAGTCCATCACTTAGTAAAGTATATCTTGAAGTTAGCTTCTTTTTTTTTTTTTAACAATTTGGAATCTTGACTCCGACGTAATGCTTCATCGTACGCGTAAAATGTTTGAGGTTAGGGAGGGACGAGGATTGATTGTGACTTTAGTTTGGAATTCTTGATGAAGATTTGATTTTGACTTATATGTGATATTATGATTGTGACTTTGGTGTGTTGGTTTTGAGCGTCGTAGTTCTGAATTAAGTTTGAGATTTTGATTTTGACGTATATGCTTAAAATGAGGGGTGTTCAAATAATCCAACAAGCCAAAACAAAAAAGGAAAAAAACGAACAATAACCCAACCCAAACCGTAAGGGTTGTGTTGGGTTAACAATTTTTCGATTTGGGTTGGATTACTTTTTAGAGAACCAAATTTTTTATTTGATTATCGAGTTAGGTAAAATTGAGGTTGGTTCAACCCGAACCAACCCGAATATAATATATTAAATCATGTTGGGTAATTATGGAGCCAAAACTCAAATACATAAATCAAAAGTACTGTACATGTTTTTGGGCCAAAAAGTCAACTAAAGCACAATAGCTTGTCCTTGTTTTCATTAGGTTGACCTAATATTAATACATGTGTTTGGGGTATTTTCCATGCCTCTTCTATCCGTGAGAATAAAAGACGAAAGAAGTGGAAAAAGAAATTGACGGCAATAGCTTGGAGTGAGTTAGATAGTTGTGTGGTTGCACAATTGAGGGTTGTCTTACAAACGTGTAGGTGCACGTTTTACTAACTAGAAAGATTATCCATGTTGGATTTATAATTTAAACTTAAAACATAGACTATAATTGCAATTTAACCTAAG